TCATACTGGTGGTTATGAGAGCTAAAGAAGGATTTTTGAAACCAGAAATTTACCTAAAAAGAAGCTCTCTTATTAATGGAAATGTTCTTCTCACAAATTAAAACCTAAACAAAAATCTTAGATGGAATGAAACTGTAGTCCAACGAGGGCAATACATCCACTTGAGCTATTTCTGACATCATGACTTTGCATACATTCCCATTACCCACTCCAATAGCTTAAGGGGAAGGAGACACTTTGTAATGGGCTCAAACTAGATGAATTGTGATCTTGCCGCCTAATTGTACACTTTTGGAACTAGCTGTTTGTCCAATGTATTACCTCTCCAAGAACACACTTGCAGCTGTCTCTGTCACACACTGCAAATGGTCTTTGAAGAGAAACTTTTGCTAAGAGCTAGGTCATACATACCTGCACACTGCTAGATTACTGAACACATGATGATTCACAGCTATGAATGTTCGCTGATACTTGTGAAAGGTATTGTTTGAGGCTATGTGATATGGAAGTTCTTTCTATAGTATCTGACCTCTGACAGCTCATTCACATGTAGAAACCGTCACTCAAGTAGCATGGTCAGGTGAACGTTCAAATGTAAGCTCACCTTTAAATGGGTCTAATAATAGATTCTGTGAGGTGGTAAAGCTTTGTGTGTTTCACAATATTCTTTTATTCCAGAATTTTTATAAGACAGAATTGAATAAGGAAGAAATGTATATTCGGTATATACATAAACTGCACGATTTGCACCTAAAAGCACAAAACTTTACAGGTAAATCTTTCACCATATATAATGTGTGGGGAATACTTAAGTAAAAAATTAATGTTGTATAACAGTGGAATATAGGAGTAAATATTATTGCGGTGTTAGTTGGCATTTTTATTTTAAAAACCCTGGATATGAACGGGCAGAATAGAACTCACAATCTCTCCTCTTAATTGAGGTTTCAGATCCACCAGTCTCATCTCTATCCCTCTAATTTCACAAAGCACTCGGAAGGGTGATAGAAAAAGGAGAACAAAGCATTGGGGCTAGGGATCCCAAGTCCCCCCGGGGGGTGGGGAAACCTCCGCCCCAGAGGCCCGTTCCCCGGCAGCGCCGGATCGGGCCCCGGAGGGAACTCCACCCCAACGTGCGCGTCACCCGGAAGTGACGCGCCCACGCCGGGCACGCTGGGGGCGGGGCCACAGCCATCCAAGGGAAAACTCTATGGTTTTCCCTTGTATGGCCATGCCCCCGCCCCCAGCGTGCCTGGCGTCCTCCCGTCACTTCCGGGTGACGTGCGTGCGGTGCGCACGCGCACACCAGACGCCGGCCGGGAGCCCCGGCGAAGATCAACTTGGCAACCCTAGTTGGGGCTGGTGGGTAGAGTTGATCTGCTTGTTTCCAACCTCTTAAGATTTGTTTCCCAATTAGTTCCCCTGAAAACTCATTATATCACTTCATTATTTCCTTTGTTTACATAATCAGCAATATAATCAGAGGCCAAAGAGGTGTCCAATGAGGAAAACACCCCTATATAAATACTTACATTTGTTCAATGGAAAGTTCTTGAGGGAAATCAATAGCATCAACATTATCTTGGGTAGAAGCAGTGAGTCCCAATGAACCATGACCTGAATGCTATTTCATGTGTATCTTTTTTTTTTATCACTGAGGTAAATCTTTTTGTGGGGGAAGTGGTGTTGCCCTTGAAAGTATCTTGGAAACTTCAATGTTCATGGCCCGTTTAATGGATATGGGTCATTGCAAGTGTGTTATGCTTGAATCAATGACTTCATTAGCTTCCTGTTTTTTTAGGGTGTGAATTCAAAATTCTGGTTATTACCTGTAAAGTCCTTCATGACCTTGAAGTCCTCATTTTTGAAGGACTCTCTCATACTTTTAAAAGCATGTGCTTGTGCACCCCAGGAGAGGGTATCCTTCAAAAATGAGGTTCAGAAGCTTCTTCCAACTATGACCTCTATTCAAGTTCTCTGGAATGAGCTTCAAAAGAGGTCCAAAACATGTTAACTTTATTATGATTTTGGAAGTGGTGTAAGGCAGTCTTTTTAGAAGATGTTGTTTTGCTGAGCTGTAATGCTGCTGTGGCAATCTGAGGAAATAGAGGTTGTATGTTTGTTTAATTGCTGCATTTTAATTTATTGGCATTTTTTAAATGAACTGTTAACTGTCTTGACTAAACAGAAAGGTGGTATATAAAACTACATATTTCTGTGTGTTTCCTCTTGTCATATGCTTATGGATTTTTGAGTGGCCAGTAACTGTGATTACTGAGTAGATGTTTAATATGTAATCCTATGCAGAATTATACCCTTCTAAGCCCATCTATTTCAACAGACTTTTAGAAAGGTGTAACTCCTCAGGATTGTACTGTAGAAAACTTAGGCCCAAATTAGACATGATAATTTTTAATTGGTTTATTTTCCCTGCAGCCACACAGCAGTGTGGGGAACTCATTTTAAAGTACTATAGGGTCCCAATTTGGCTTGGGACCACAGCGTGGGGGGAGGGGCTGCTGTTTTCCTCCCCATGCTAACTTTCCAAGCTAAAATGACCTTGGGGAGTCATTATGTGGCCTGTTGAGAGGCTGCACATGCATTGTGTACTGCATGCGCAGACCTAGAATGGGTCAAATAATGCCCCAGAGCTTTTTCATCTCAGGATAGGGTTGCCAGCTCCTGGTTGGGAAATAGGGTTGTTGCCAGTCCCCAGGTGCTGGTGGGGGGTCCCCCTGGTTTTGGTTGGCCGGCAGGGGAACCCCACACCCAAACAGCCACGTTCCAACATGATGTCCCCCATGTGATGATGTCACCTGGAAGTGATGTCATCACATTGGGGACATCATGTGGGATGCTCTGGTTTGAGGACAAAAACTCTATGGTAAATATGGCCTAAAACCATAAAGTTTATAATGAGGAAAAATCTGTATCAGGTGGTTTCTTCCCATACGAGCATGTCATGCCAGTTAATGACTACTTTTTACATGGCCTCAAGACATATAAGAAGGAGATGCACAGGATTAAGTTGTTTAAACCCCGAATTAGAGTGATGACATTGCTGAATGTAGATTATAGGGCAGCTGTTTGTTCACTGTTTCATATCTTCATCTTTAAATCAAATATCTTCTCTCTGTAAGAGGCAGTATTGGGTTGATGATCTTTTTCCAGTGAATGGGAGTGAAACAGAAATGATCCCACCTCAGAAATGCTACTGCTTCTGAATATACCAGATGTCTTGTGCCCCGACTGACATGACTTTTTAGTTGAGACTAGAATTTAACTTTCCTGTATATCTAATGTTCAATGTCTGAAAATGTCAGATATCAGATATTTGTCTTATAAAGGTGGGATCCATGAAGTCTGCTAGTTTTGCACCACTTGATCTGCTTTTTCTGGCCAGTTATTCATGTTCCAATAATTTTTGGCAAACCCGCTCCTTTTTAATGTCAAGTTTAAATCTTCCCTTGAACAGCTGGTAGTCAATGCATCTCCTCGGTAACAATGGCAAAATGAGCTACTGTTCGTCTTCCATGTACTCCAATAGAGCCTGAGTGGGACTGAAATTAATAATGTTAAAACAAGACATTGCTCGATGGCTTTGACTTAGGGCAGTTGTCTTCCCCTCTGTGGGCTGCAGAGCTGCTGTCATTTGCTGCCTTTTAGAAGGACCTGCTGGTCATGCACATAAGTAGAGAGTAAGAGTGTCTTGCTCCCTCCCCTTCTTTGCACACATGATGAAAGGAACAGTAGAAAGTTAAGGTGAGGTCAGCAAGTGTTGGAGAGGATTTATTTTTAGCACAGGAAGGCTTTCCCCCTTCCTGTCACATGACATAAGTGTCATGCGGTTTCCTGAAATATGCTTATAGTTTAGTGAGCTCCAGCTTATAGCTGCTTAGTGGGTCTTGGGGATCAGTGTGGCCCCCGGTCTGGAAAGATGAAAGAGCACTTACCTAGTATGTAATTTTCAAATTTGTTTTTGAAGGTTAGAAAGTTTTTGAGATGTGAACATTATCTTGATAATCTTTTAGACTTTCATCTTCCTTATCAATGCTTTGCGTTCTAACCTTCTTCCCATAAAACAGATTTTCCACTTCACGATTCACTTCTGTTCATTTTTTTTGTTGCAAGTGGATTTCTGTGGCTGCCAGTCATGTTATTTAGAATGACTGATATCTTCTGCATTGTCCAGTACATCAGTGGGGGAAATAAAATCCTGTGTATATCTGGAATTAACACCCTGTACTCTTAACACCCTGTACATATTAACACCCTATACTATTTTTCTTTTATTTCATAGAAAATTGAAACCATATTTGTTTGTTTCTGTACATTAGACTCTATAAAACATATTTCTATTAATTTTCTTGAAGACTTTGTTGCAATTTAAGAATTGAACATTCTTAAATGTAAAACGAACCATTAATTGGTAATTTGTTTTATTAGTACTGTTATCCTGGGATGTCTTTGGCTTTTTGGAAGCTTCAGTTAGTACAAAATGCTATTGTTGTGGTTTGAATATAGGGATCATACAATCCCTGTACTCAGGGGTCATTTTGTAGAAAAAGAGCTAGGGGAACTCATTAGCATAACTCATTAGCATATGCCACACCCCCTGACATCAGGGGCCTGGCGGTGGACCTGCAAGGCCAGCGGGAGTGCGAGGAAGCCCCGCCAAGGCCCTCCCTGGCCCCAGGCAGGCAGGGGTGGGGAGAGGCGGGGAGGAAGCAACTTACCTTCCCTCTTCTCCTGCCTCCTCCTGGCTGAATGAGGGCTGGAAGCGGGGTGGCCAGAAGCAGGGGGCGGGGCTTTGTCATGTGCCTCGCCCCCCTGCACCTCCCCCAGGGGAACTGTGTTCCCCCACGGCCCCCCCCCCCGAAATGACCTCTGCCTGTACTGAAAGATTACTATCTGCCTATTTGGTCCCAAGCACAATTCAAAGCATAGTGCTTATATAGAAACCTCTAGATGGCTTGAGGTCAGTTTACATGGAGGACCACCTTCTCCCCTGTTGTCCGGGGCAACATTTAAGATTTTCCTCCCAAGCTCTGCTTTTATCCCCTCATACTCAACGGTGAGATGAGTGGCAACCAGATCCAGGGCTTTTTCAACAGTGGTGCTTCTTCTGGGATATAGTCTTTGCCAGGAAGCTCACCTGACACCTTCTCCTCTGGCTTTTAAGTATGCGGTTAAGTGGTTTTATTTTCCCAGAGTTTTGTTTGGAATTCCTTTCACCTCTTAGTCATTTTAGGTTTTCCATCAATGTTATGTTTGTTTATTGTTTCTCATCTGGCCTGTTTTTATGGTTTTATGGGAATGTGTGGATTAGGTCTTGATTTTATTGGTTATCTCTTGTGAGTGATTTTCATTCCTATGCTGATTTTTTATTGTTTTATAATGTACCGCTTAATATTTATAATGTTTGCTTAATTGCTGTCTGAGTAATATCAAATTATATTTGTTGTTGTTTTACTGTTTTGATTATGTGAGCCACTTCAGTCAGATCCTGTCGAAGAGGCATGAAGAAATATACTAAATAAAAGAATAAAGTGGGATTTGTGTCTGTCCCTATGAAATTTACTTAATTTTTACCTGTAAAATATTATAGAGGCTGCTTACACACTGTTGCTGTATGATGAGCTGCTGGAATGGTCAGACCGGCCACTGAGAGAATTCTTAAACTATCCCATGCAAACAGAGTGGCAACGTAAAGAATATCTTCATCTCACTATTATCCAGAACTTTGACAGAGGAAAAGTAAGTTTTGTTTTGAAAGCCAGTTGATTATTAATAGTATATTATATTGTTTAATTATATTGTAAATATGACGAGTGATTTGTTATTGTCATGTTATGACTTCAGGTGTCATGCAAAACCACAGCTTGATTAGATTAACTGAGGCCCCGGGCACACGGGCCGGCTGAAACGCGGCTACTGAGAGCCGCTCCAAACTTGAGACGCCGCGGCGGGATCCCACGGATCCCCTAGCCGCGGCGCAGCACTCCCCGGCACGCTCAGATGCCGGGGAGGAAAAGTCCGAGGGGAGGCTGCCGAACTGCGCATGCTCGGGCATGCGCAGTACGGCTGGGGGCCGGGATGCGGCGGCGCAAGGACGCGCCGCCGATCCCACAGCCCTGCCTGCGCCGCACCAATGGATGCAACCACCTAGAGAGGTGGTTGTTTTTTGCGGCGCAGTTTGGGCCGTTGGGACGGATCAGGGACGGAGACGGCACGCTCGCCAGATGTTGAGGTGAGATCGCGCCTGTTTGCTCCGCCCCAGTTCCGTCCCGCTCCCGGCCCAAATGGGCTTGTATGAACGGGGCCTAGGGCTAATCATCTGAATGTCGGCCACTCCACGGATAAGTGTTAGTTAAGGTATATCAGACCAGATTCTGAAACCATGGCTTGAAGTTGGCTTGTTAATTGCAATTATTTATGTACAAATGTGGACATTTTTGGCTTAATCCTGGTTTCTACCTTGATGCTTCCCTCACCGTAGTCCAGGCTGGGATACCAGTTGGTTTCTGCAAGAGTGGGTAGAAGAAGAAGAAGAGATTGGATTTATACCCCGCCCTTCACTTGGAGTCTCAGAGCGGCTTACAAACTCCTTTCCCTTTCCCTTCCCCTCCCCACAACAGACATCCTGTGAGGTGGGTGTGGCTGAGAGAACTCTGACACAAACTGCTCTTTTTCAAGGACAGCTGTGCCAGAGCTTGTGACTGACCCAAGGTCACATCAGCAAGTGGAAGAGTGGGGAATCAAACCCGGTTCTCCCAGATTAGAGTCCGCACACTTAACCACTACACCAAACTGGTAGGAAGGTGATAAATTCTGTATTTGTCAAGGAATACTAGGATTTGAATTATTGTTTGTGAGCCAAATCCTAGTTTCATAAACTAACCAAAGTAAAGTAAACCTTGGTCTGAGACTAGCCATGTCTTTTACAAATAATCTAATGTACAGAACATTTCGAAGACTTATGTGCTTTACAATGTTATTTTGTTTAGTATCTGTTTTTTACTTATCAGACTCTGGGGCAGAGATGATGAACCTTTAACTTCCTGATTTGCTGCCACTGTACCTCATTCTGTTGATTCCATAAGAACTATACATATTTTTAAGAGGCCATTGAAGACATAAGCATTTTTTTGTATATATTAATCATGCCTTAGTTTGACTATATAGCTGAAAACTGGGTGCCTTTCCATTCACCCTGACATCAGTCTAATTCTTGCTTAACTGCAGTAGCCAGGATTTTCTGAATTTTTTTCTGTATTTTAATTGGATGTTTAGTTTTCATTCTGATAGCCAGCATGGTGTAGTGGTTAAGAGTGGCGGACTCTAATCTGGAGAACTAAGTTTGATTTCCCCACTCCTCCACTTGAAGCCTGCTGAGTGACCTTGGGCCAGTCACAGTTCTGTCAGAGCTCTCTCAGCCCCGTCTACCTCACAAGGTGACAGTTGCGGGGAGAGGAAGGGAAGGCACTTGAAAGCTATGCTGAGACTTAGGGTCAAGAAAAGCGAAATACAAAAACCAGCTCTTCTTCTTCTTCTCCTTCTCCTTCTTTTTATCTGATCTAGGGCAATTCAAGTGTGGTGCCCCCTTAGGTACTAGGTTTCCAGTATTCTGTGAGTACAGTTCATTAAGCTCAGAAAAGGGGGATAAACCATATAGTCAGTAAGCAATTGGTTTCTTCCTGTTGGCTACTATTCTCTGAAAGTGCTAGTTAATGTTAGACTATACTGCCAACAGAATATTTGAAAATCTGTTTGAAACAGCTAAACAACCTTATGGATTCTTCTCTGGGTAGAACAATATTCTTCCTTATTTGTCTGTAGTGCTGGGAGAATGGCATTATCCTATGCAGAAAGATCGCGGAGCAGTATGAGAGCTATTATGACTACAGAAACCTCAGCAAGATGCGGGTAATGGAGCTGGATATATTTTTGTCATTAAGAAGTATATAAACATCACTTTTGTTACTGAGCAAGGCAAAAATAAATTTCTCTAGTTTAACTTTTGTGCTAAAAATAATTATTTGATTTGAATGAACACAAAGATGACTGCTTGGAGGGGCAGCTTGGTATAGTCCAATTTTTTCAGATCTCGGAAGCTAAGGAGGGTCGGTACTTGGATGGGAGATCACCAAGGAAGATTCTGCTAAATAAGGTGGTGGCAAACCACCTCTGCTTCTGCTTGGAAGTTCCTTGCCGTGGTTGCCATGTGTGTTGCAACTTGATGGCACTTACTTACACAGATGACTGCTGCATATGTAGCAATCATAAGAACAAACAAGACCTATCTGTGCTATTTCAGTTCATGTTTGGTTTGGGCTAGTTAACTCAGAAAAGAAAGAATTGACAGGGATCTTTTAGGCACTTCAGGTTGTGGAGTGAATATTCCTGATTCTTTTCTTTCCTGTTGCTTCCATCTGTGTCACATTGTGCACTATTGCAGAGGGTTCCTGACCCCCCCTTCCAGAGTAGGTTTTGGGGGTTATAGGGAGCTGTAATGAGAAGGGGAAGGTGAGAGCCCTGTTCATGACTCATTGGACTCAGAGACCCCACACTTGAAACTATTTTATAATCATTTACAGATGATTCCCAAGCTTTATAGATTTTGTACCCCATATTCCCCATTAATCTGCTTATTTGCTGTGCTATATTTACCTGTTGTGTTTATTATTACTATTGCTTGGGAAACATGATGGAATCATTATGCAGTATGGATATAATTTTTCTATGCATTGAGATTTTGGTAGTATACCAAGGCACAGCTCCTATAAGTTCTTTGTTACTTTCTGTGATATTTGATCCCTGTTTTCTGCTAAGACTGAGCTTTTCAAAAATAGTTTGCGATGTGGCATGGAATCTTGCTTTTTAAGGGTGGGGGTGTCAGAAGCTTATTGGGTAAATCTATAGTAGAACTTAGAATCTTGATTGAACAATCCGAACTAGATGACCGGAGTTCCTATTTAGATGATGGAAGAGGTTGCACAAGAGGAAAAGGTTTACATATTGTTGATCTCTGCTTGGTCCCCCCTGTGCAGCCTAGTCATTTTTAAACCTGTGGTTTTAAATGCTGCCTAAATCTCAGTACAATGCCATCTATCTGGTATGATGTATCTGTGAACATTATGCCATAACCCTTGTGCATGGCCACTACATTAATTCTAAAGATGTCACACTGTTCCTCCTGCCTACAAAAATCTGGTCATGTTCAGAGCAAATACAGATAAGTAGAACTACAAAGGTATCGATGGGAACTTGATGTCAGCTGGGGAAATTCTCGCATTCGTTGCATTGCAGCTATGAAGTAAATAAGCAAAACTACTTGTTCGTTATTTACCTGTGTATCCTCCCCTTCTTCCAGGTAGGAATTCCATTTGATCCTTGGAACAAATATGTGACATAGAGCAAACTGAGAGATAGGGACTAGGCTGACTTACACCATTACTAAGCAAAGTTACACTCTAAGTCCATTGAAATCAGTTTGCCTAGAAGGGTGTAACTCTGTTTAGGATTGCACTATTAATCATCTTCCTGGATGGAAGATCATTTAAACCCAAACCCAAAATTATGTCCTCTACACTACACTGGTTCTTAAATATGTTGAATCTAAGTAACATGTGAATATTTATATCTGGCCACAATTTCGTATGATTTTTTTCCTGCCTACGTTGAACAGTATCATGGAATACGCTACTTTCTAAAAATGTTAAAGACTCCTGCAAATAACATTTGATTCAATCTCACATAGATGATGGAAGCTTCTTTTTATGATAAAATTATGGATCAACAGCGTTTGGAGCCAGAGTTTTTCAGAGTTGGATTTTATGGGAAAAAGTTTCCTTTTTTCTTACGAGTGAGTACAAAAGATGTCTGTTGTAGTTATGCATACATTTTGATGTCTTGTCATGCTTGAGATGTGGGTATTACCCTATGGTCCTAATCCTGCAGATCGCTGACTGGAACCTAAGCACCAAACAAGCTCCAGCAACCTTGTATTTGATGCAAGCTATTTGTTTCCTGCTTTTTGTTTCTGATTCTTTTTAACAGCTTTTATGAAAAAGCTGACCATGAATGTCACAAATCATCCTTTGTGCAAACCATGCATACAAAGCAAAGCTATTGGTATCCCACTCAATGGTAGAGAGTCCCACATTGTTCAGTAGGTGCTGTGAAAATTAGTTTGTATTTATTATATACACATACAAATCCACAAGGACTTGCAGGGAACAGCTCCTTCTGTGTGTCACACTGGTGGTGGAGCAAGCTGCACCAGGCCCAGGCATGCCAGTGACAGAGGAAGCCCCTCATCTTCTGTCCCCCTGTTATCTTCACTGCGTCAGCTGCTCACCCAGGTATTGTCTTTTTGCCACCTCAATGGCAGTGGCAACTCTTCTCCTACCTGCCTGCAGTTTTGCCGCCTCTGGAGGTGTACTAGAGCTGTGCATTACTGATTAACCTCCCCAATGATTTAAAAAAAAAACATTTTGAGATTTTTTTGCAAATTTGGAGGGGGGGAGTCTTCCAAGTTGGGAGAAAAATCTCCTTTCTTTTAGTGTGGGCCCAATCCACAGATTCAGATATCTGCAGATCTACCCACACTTGAGAAATAGATATATAGACAACAGAATCGTAGAGCTGGCTGATAATACAATATGCCTCTCATCTTTGAAACTACCATTTAATTTTGCTTAGTATTTATTTTTGTCAGTTTCACTGCTTGAATGATGAAAGCTTAGTGGTAAGAAAGTTCAGTTGCAGCCTGAATTGCTCAGACTAGCTTGGGCTTCTTAGAGCTCAGAAACTAAATGGTGGCAATTGTTAGTATTTGTGTAGGAAACCACCAAGGAAGACCATGGTTGCTGTGCAGAGGAAAGCAATGGCAAACTACCTCTGCTGAGCTCTTGCATTGAAAACCCCATGAGGGATCATCATAAGTTGATTGCGACTTGATGGAACATTGTTATTATTATTGTTATGAAAGTTGAGCTGCATTAGCCTGAGAAGGTAAACCAGTTATTACTTTTAAGGAAAGACAAAAGACATTGTTCTCCATTTACAGACTGATTTATTTATACCAATTTACAGGGCAAGACTGATGCCTTAAGTCCAGAGTTTTGCACCATTGCTGTTTGAGAGCCTTCTCAAAAAGCAGTCCAAACAGTATAAGGCTGACATGTTCTTATTTATACACAAGGAGTCTTGGGGGGGGGGGGAATACCATAGCAACATAAAGCTGCTCAGCTGTAAATTAGAGTTCTTCCCAGTTTAAGAACCTTTGGTTGTCAAGTTTGTAATTATTTGTTTCTGGTTGCTTTGAAGAGAATTACATTCTGAAATCATACAGAACGATGATAAAAATGGATGTGGGAAATCAGTGAACTCGGGTTGAAATATTAAAGGAGATGTCAAATGCATATATTATTTTCAACAGACTGAACACAGGAAAATCTGTCGTACGGGAATACTGAAATTCTCCGTTCAGTCAAATGTTACTGATTAGAGATACAGGAAGTTTGGGTGGAAAGAGATCCTTTAGCAGCTGTAGCTATCAACACAACTCTTCAGCAATCATTGCTGCATTTTCATTTCCTGGCACCTGCAGTAACTGGTGAGGTGGTACAGTGGATAGGACAAAAAAGAAGGAGCCTCCATTCCCTTGCTGGTAGAGATACAAGGCTGTAATGGAGGTGTACACATGGTGATTGGCTTTGTACTTAGGCACTAACGAACATGCTCGGCACTCAATTTAGTTTTCCACTTCTATGTTGCTTCTCCTGGTATAAGGTCCCTTCGATTCAGCAGTGTCAGCTTAACCCATCGCACTTTCCTGGAACCATGCAATCAGTGTACCATTAGGACAGCCATTGAAACTAGGCTGTTCATCTCAGGCTGCAGTGATCAGCTATTAGAAGATGCTGGAGCTGGAACTAGCTGAGGGTTTTCCCCCACCCAGACTGATGAATAATTTGTGCAACCCAACAGGAACTGTTTTTGCCCTCTAATTCTTTGAATAAATGTATGATTAGAAAAGCCTTAGGCAAGTCTCACGCAAGGGGCAAACAACTGATTTTGCTTGCCTTGCCAGTTCAGAAGTATGAGAGGAGCTCAAGTTCAGAACTGACAACAAAGTAAAAGTATCCACTGGTGCCATACAAAGTTACTTTTTTCCTTGGCCAGGTTTCAGGTTCCTTGAATTATTTATTGAGGGCATCCTCCTTTGTGCAACTTCTCAAAAAGAGAGGAGATTTTTTAAAATTTCAGTTCTTTATAGAGAAAACAATTGAAAGGAAAACAACCTGTTCTTCTTTGCAGGAATGGCAAAGGTAAGATTCCCAAGATGTTCACACCACATCTGATTCAATAATACAAGGAATCTTCTAGCACTGGTGGATGTTTTCATATTTAGTATTTGTTCCCACCTATATGTTTGTTCTGTGATCATTCTATGTTGCTTGTTGTTCATATGGATGAAGAATATGTCCAGTTTTGAAGTAAAGCACTGAAAATAGTGTAAAAAATATATTAAGCATCAGAAACGTGTCCTAAGGAAGTATCCAGCAGCATGTTTCTTTGATTTTTGTTATTATTGTTGATACTGAGCAGTTTTAATGTAACCATCTTTGCTTTCCTTTTATTCTGCCCAGAACAAAGAATTTGTCTGCCGAGGACATGACTATGAACGCTTGGAGGCTTTCCAACAACGGATGTTAAATGAATTCCCACATGCCATTGCTATGCAACATGCCAATCAGCCAGATGAGACCATCTTTCAGGCAGAAGCACAGTGTATCCTCTTCCTGGACAGTACTAGTATGCATGCTCAAGAAACGTTAAAAATATTCCATTTCAACTGTTATTTCTTTAAAAGAATAATGGTAAAATGGTTTTGGTTCCAGTTCCTGGTATGGCGAGGACAGACACTTGTGGACGAGCGCCGCACATTTCTGCCCTTCCTAGTATTCTTCAGGCTTCCACCGGCCAAAATTCCTTCCCGGAGAGAGGGGATTTGCAGGGGACTTAAGTCACCCACAAACGGAACAGCAAACCGCTTGTGGCCAGGCTTGTTCCAAAGCAAAGAATACCAAGGACGCAGGAGAGGCGAGCCATTGCCTCCCCCCGACGGAAGCCAAACTTAGCAGAGACCTAAGAGTCTACATAGCGAAGACCGAACGACGTGGAACCAACAACATAAGCTGAGTATTTTAATTTATGAAGACAACTCTTTAATTAGCTAGAGTTTAGTTAATAGATTTAAAATTTATAAGGAATGCTCAATGGCCTTTGAGAAGGCGAGAATAGTAGCAGCTACTCCTCTTTAAAACTCGTGAAAAGCTTACCTTAATGAATTTAAGGAGGTCTCGAGCATGCTAGTTAATCCATATGGTAGATATAGAAACTACATAATTCCTTCTTTTTCTTTGTTTTAAATATTTTTCTGTGTGCCTCCCTGAGTGGTCGTGGCCCCTTTAATGTTGAGAAGGTGAATCAGCGAAATACAGGGTGTAGTGCCGGGTGAAAAGATTACTGGCATCACTGGCAGCGACAGATCAGAAGGAAGACCGACACGTAAAGCCCAGGAGACAGCGTTGAGAGTGACGGATTAAGAAAAATCCTTCAGGCGCTTTCTAGCCAGATCGACGGAGCTACAGACAACCTGTTATGTAGACCTGCAGACAAGCACTCAGCGTGAATCAGAGGCGTGTCGCAAGGAAGTGTTGTGGAAAGACACTTTTAAAGAGACAGGAATGGAAATAACCCTGAAAGATTTAAAGGGTGATTTCCCCCCCTTGATGCCATTGAATCAATTTTGAAATATATTTGTTATATCTACATTTGTATCTACTTAGAACAAATTAGAAAGCAACTTAAATAGAAATATCTTTTCTTAGGAAAAATAATTTAAGGTTATTTCAGTTTAATTTATGGCTTCAGGCTCTAGTGGAGTTAGAAAGAGCTCAATCCCATCACTGGGGCAATCAGGTATCACTCCTTTCCTAAAGATGAGTGTGGGTCAGATGAATCCTAAAGAACTTGAGGCTCTGATTCAAAAATGTGTTGGAAAGGCCATGCAGCAGATGACTGAAAATACAATTCCGGCATCGATTAAGAAAGAAATTGAGACATGGTATGGATGTCGACTCCCCTGTTAAAAGTTCTGAAAGAGGTAGAAATACTACCTAGGATGTATGCCAACCATGCGCCGCTCTTAATACAGCTATTCCAGATGTCAAAAAAATCCAGTTGGAAGTTGAATACAGATCTCTTAATGGACAAAGATTTTGTACTTAAAACTAAGATAGTGATACAAGATTTTTTTGAGAGGAACCTGCAGCCAGAAATATCAATAAATATTGTATGGGATACATTTAAAGCTTTCTTGAGTGGATGCTTTATTAACCAACAAGCCTGGAAAGTCAATCAGAGTAAAAAAGAATTCGAGAGTATTTGAGGGAAAATAAAGGCAGAAGAAGATAAACTAAAAAATAAATTCAACATTTGGACTTCCGGTTGATGGCGGCACACTAGCAGACTCACCTCCCAGATCTCCCAGGGGTGAAGCTGTGCTCCAGCCGAAGGAGGGGGTGTGCAGGCTCACTACCCCCCCAGGGACCCGGTTGAAGGGACCCTGGCCACGGAGCTCTTGAGAGGTTGCCTCTTCGACGGCAGAAAGCTGGAGAATTGAGGCACCTCTCCGCTCTGATGGTTCTTCGTGCTGAGAGACCGAATCGACTAAGTGACGCTGACGGGGGCAAGCGCAGGAGATCGAGCATTAGAAATGGAGTGTAAACGAGGTCTGTGGACCGATTATGAACATGAGTCATTTAAGCATTGATTAAAAAGAAAAGAAGCTCCCCACCCCACGGAACAGAAGATAAGGCGAGCGTGGGAGGGACGCCTCCCAAGCGCATAGACTTCAGAGCGATTGAGGGGGGGAGCAGAAGTATAAACGGTTAAAACTGCTAAGGAGTACTTACCAAGGCGAGTGCAAGCGTTTAAGCGCATATTCAGAGACTTTCAAAAAGTTTGCGAAAGTAAACAAAGCAAAAAAGATGGCGGGGAAGAGGATGGAGAAAGAGAAACATCTAAACTCGAAAGTAACTGAGAGCCCAAAACCGGAAGGAGTCAACGAGACTTTGGCAGACTCCATGCGCCACCTGCTGGACCAAATGAATAATCTCAAAGAGCAGATGACATCAGTGACCCAGTGTATCACCAATCAACAAAACCAGATAAGCGAGACTTTGAAAATGATGAATCAAACAAATGAGAAGGTGAAAGAAGTGAACGCCACTACCCAAAAGGTGAAGAAGAAAGTACAAAAACTGGAAAAGAAGCAAGTTTCTACAGAAGAGCAGTTGCTACAATTACAAATGGAAAAGGCTAATATGATCCTTCGCTTTCAGGACATGCCAGAGACTAAGGGGGAGAATCTGAAGGAAATGATGAGTGAAATACTGGCCCCAGTGACAGAGATGAAGGCGGAATTTTTGCTAAGTGAAATAGATGTGGCCTACAAGTCAGATTCAGGATACATAAAAAAAAATAATCTGCCTGGGAAAATTGTCGTAAGATTCTCAAAGAGGCATGTAAGGGATGCAATCCTGAAAGCAGTATCTGGAGCACCCCTGAGAGCTGGGGAGAGTGTTATCAGAGTACTGAAGGATATTCCATTTGAAATAAGACAGCGGAGAAAGAAATATAAAGACCTTGTTCTTTTTCTTCAAACAAATTCAATTGGATATAGATGGCTAATTCCAGAATGTATCACCTTCAAAATCAAGGATAAAAAAGAAAAGATTGACTCTGTTCTGAAAGCGAGAGAATTTTTAAGAGTCCAGCTGGGAGGGCCAGAGGAGGAAGAAAAAGAAGAGGACAGCAAGTCCAGTGGCGAGCTGGACTCGGGTTCTTCCGGAGAGGACTCTCTGTCAGAGAAAGGGGCAGCAGCTCCTAAAAGTTCTTATAAGTTGCGGAAGAGACTGGACAAGAAGAAGTGAAGGCTGAAGGACTCTGAACTGTGCCTTTGAAAAATTTTGAATTGAGATGCTTTGGGGTATTTCCTTATATCAGTTAATTTAAGATGTGGGAAAAGTTAACAGAATATGTGACTCAGTTTGTAATGAGATTAATATGATTAAGACTAGATGTGTATTCAAGCTGATCAGAAGATCTCCTCTCTTGGGTTTTTAGTCAGCAGTGGGTATCTTTTCTTTATCCACTAAATATAGTCCCCTCCCTTATTTCTGTTATAGTTTGTAGTTTTAATAAAAATGCAATAAAAATTCCCCATTGGGGAGCAAAAATTCTTTTTCAACATTTGATGGGGAAAAAGAACTCTTTAAGATTAAACTGCTACAACATCAAATGAATATTAACACAAGAATTAGCCAAAAAAATACAATATTCCAAATTATATTACTTCGAACATGCAAATAAGATATCAAGATGGTTGGCGTTCAAACTCCAAAAAGATAAGGAAAACAGAACAATTTTAGCACTAAATAATGTAAACAATGAGATAAAATATACTAAACAGGAAATGAAACCAATTATTAAAAATTCTATACTAATCTGTACTCACAAAGGACACTAAACCGACAAGATATAAAAGAATACTTAGAACAAAATAACGAAAAAAGATTTACTGAATCACAGAAAATGATTTTAAATGATCCCATTACGCTCATGAAATAGTAGAAGCAATCAAGATACAAAAGAAGAAGAAAACACCAGATCCTGAGGGGCTCCCGGTAGAGGTTTATAAAATGTTTGAAGAGCAACTATTGCTGTCTTTGAAAGAATTAATGCAAAATATAACAAAGGAAAAGAAAATACCAAACTCCTGGAATGAAGCACTGATAAAATTAATTCCAAAAACGGAGACAGAAAGAAAAGAGATCAAGAACTATAGGCCGATCTCATTATTACATGCAGATTATAAGCGCTTTGCAAACATTTTAGCGACAAGGTTAAAAAAAATTCTGTCTCATACTATACATGAAGACCAATCAGGCTTTCTTCCAAAAAGACAGATTAAAAACAATGTTAGAAATATAATTAATGTTGTTGAATACTTTGAAATTCATCCTGAAAAACAACTAGCATTGATGTTTCTAGATGCTGAGAAAGCATTTGATAATGTTTCATGGGACTTTCTGATACAAAAACTACAGAAATGGGATTGTGGCGAAAATTTTCTAACAATGATTTCTGCCATCTATTGCAAACAAATACGCCAAAATTACTTTTAATGGAGATACAACTGAGAGAATTCAAATACAAAAAGGCACAAGACAAGGTTATCCTTTGTCATCTTTGCTGTTTATTTTTGTCTTAGAATCCTTAAATGAATCAATTAGAAATAATAAAATTATATGGGGATTAAGAATAAAGGGCGCAGAATTTATACTCCAGTCCTTCACAGATGACCTTATATTTATTCTCATGGAGCCCCTGTCCTCCATTAATCCTCTACTTGATGAAATCGCAAAAAATGGCAGAGCAGCAGGTCTAAAAATAAATATCCATAAGACTAAAATAATCACCAAGAACTGTTCTCAAGATATTATAGAGAGGTTAGAACAGGAAACCAAAATAAAGGTAATTGATGAGATAAAATATTTGGGTATAGTAATGACAAATAAGAACAGCATGTTAAAGGAAAATAACTATCAAAAATTGCTGGAAGATGTAAAGAAAGACCTCCATAGATGAAAAGACATACAGCTGGGTAGAATTGCAGCGGTCAATATGAATGTGCTCCCTCATTTTTATGGGGTCGGGAAGCAATTTTGCTCCAGGCCGGTTTGGCCAGGGATCCTGGAGGGTTTTTTGGTCATCTTCTGGGCATGGAACAGTGGTCACTGGGGGTGTGGAGGGGGAGGTATTTATGAATTTCCTGCCTTGGGCAGGGGGTTGGACTAGATGATCTGGGGGATCCCTTCCAACTCTACGATTCTAAGTGCAGTGGCAGAGCCATTTGACATCTTGATACCAACAGAGGAATAAAGTCCTGCTGGCTCAAGAACACTGTGAAGCCAGGCCTATGTAACCATTTTGTATAATTTCACTGAGCAGTGAACACAAAGTGAATTGAATCCTTGGACAAATTCCCTGCCATTAGTGTGCATGGCTATGTGTGACTAGGGCCTGCCAACCAGGGACATCAAGGTCAGCTCAGCACAGCTGTAGTTCAGTTGGGGAAAAAGCCCTTCCAATTTTCCCGTGGAACTCTGGGACATAGACCAAGCTCCTGCTATCCCAGCTGGCCGGGCTCCAATCAGCTGCTTCATTGAACTACGTGTGGCAAATGCAACCAAATGATTCTTGCCATCAAAAACACTCTCTGCCCTTCCCTCCCACTGTCTTTCATTTCCTCTCTAATTAGATTATCCGAATGAATTGCCCACAACTAATCATCTGGGGGGGGGGAATCTGGCAGTGCGTTAATACCCCACAATGAGTGCTTTTAAATGGCAGGCCTCAGGGTGCCAGAAGTCTTGTAAGACCTGAGTATGCTTTCTTTGTAAGCCAAACACAAACGCCCAGGAACCAGCTCCTCCCATTGATAACAATGGTTAGAAGTAAATCTTGGACTGGAATCCAAGAAGCCCTTGGGAATAGACTGTGGGTTGAATTGAGGTTAAATCTCCTAATGGCAGGAGGAACTTCCCTCCCCGGCCCCACTGCAGCCCGCTGATCTCCACAAAATGCTGCTCCTGGGGGTGGGGGAAATGGGCGACCCTGAGGAATGTCATGGGGTGCTGCAGCAGGAAGCGGGAAACCGGTGGAAATGGCTAGTTTAGTCTGGATCCAGCCCTGTGTCAAGTTATTTATTAATTATTTATCATATTTTGATTTCTAGCTGCTCCCTCCCCTGCACAGCAAGGCTCAGGGTGGGTTACAACAGTACAGATAAAACAATAAATAATAGCAATTAAGCATAACTATAAAATTGTTAAAGCCTATGAGCACTTATCCCCTAGAATGAAAAAAAAGAAGAAGAATGATTTAAAGGCCAAAGACTCAGATTCACTGCATGTTTTGTGACATTTTGATGGATCATAGTAAAAAGTATTGCATGGATTGTGGTTTGTTTCTGGTTTTATATAGTTTGGAGTCAATTTATAATTTCAGACAGGGTAGATTTTAGACTAAGTTTTAGATGGGAAAGGTAACCCTTTGCTGCTCTTAATTTCACTTAAAGGTCACAAATCTGGCTTGTTGCCAAGCTCACACACACTCCTCACTTATTGCTTCCCCACTGTCTTCTAACACAGAGAATCACAGTTAAAAACTAACTCTGGTTATCAACTCTGTCCAAATGCAAGTGGCTTAGTTTCACCCCCAACTAACTGGGGCCCCGGTCACACGGAGAATTTGCCACGTGAAAGACACGAATGTCAGGCGGATTTTCTGGGCGCAATCACACCGCAAGGGTAGGGCACCCGTGGCTAACCGGTGGCATCCCGCCGAAGATGCAGAGTTAAAAAGTACCAAGGAAAGTGCACTAGTATCCGGAAAACGCACGGCACAGGCGGGCGTCTGATCGCGGGAGCGCTAGTATCCCGTGGCATCCGGCGCCCGTCCACACCCTGTCGCAAACTGGATGTTTTCTGTAAGCGCATGCGCACAAACACAAAACTGAAAGCAGTGCTGCTCTGCAGAACTGCGCATGCACACAAACGTGAAACGCTTGTGTGATCGTGCCACGCCGCTTCTTTGCCATGCTGCAGCATCACCATGTGATTGCCAGCTAACAGCTGAAGCAGGGAGACTCGGGGGATCATGTGATCGGGCTACCGCGCTTTATTTTGCTCCGGGGCGAACAGCCACGCGTCCCCGTCCCCCCCGCGTTATCTGGCCCGTGTGACCGGGGCCTGTGGTTAATATTAAAGGTAACCAAAGCTGGTCTTTAACAGCAAGAAGGGAAGAGCAAGAACCTGGCAACAATCAGGTCCATGCACATTTCCCCTTAACTTTGGTTAAGCATGAAGTCAGAATATAGCTACACAAACAGTTCAGAGATGCCTCTGCATTAGTACAGCCACTGAGGCATCCCTTTCTCAGGGCTGGGAAGTTTGATGAGCATCTCTCAGAAACATTCCTCTGTGGAATTTCATCTGTGCCTGAACGCAGCATGCCTGAGAGTTATGCAAGGCTCCCTCTCAGCTGTGGAGTCCTGTGAGCAAAAATCCTACTTGGTGAGCTGCCGGCATTAAAGTTGTGAGCGAGCGATTGGGCTCCTGCATGAACTAGTTTGCTCTGGAGCCCTCCTTCCTGAGCTGAGACAAAAATGTGTGAGCCGGAGGCTAAAAAGCTGTGAGCTAGCTCACACTAACTCAGCTTAGAGGGGACACTGGTTCTAACCAATGCTCCCTTGCAGCTGTGAAGTCCTGTGAGCAAAAATCCTACTTGGTGAGCTGCCGGCATTAAAGTTGTGAGCGAGCGATTGGGCTACTGCATCGATAAGTTTGCTCTGGAGCCCTCCTTCCAGAGTTGAGACAAAAACGTGTGAGCCGGAGGCTGAAAAGCTGTCTGTCTCGGCAGGCAGAAGCCCCCCCCCCGTTCAGTCCCCAGAAGCATCGCAGGTTGCAAGGGCCTGGGGGAAGGGGGAGGGGGGGAGCAGGCGGACCTTGATGGAGCAAGGGGAGGGGGGCTGACTCGGGGAAAGGTGGCCCCCCCCCCGCATGATGTGTTCAGGCTCGAGGCCATGGGACTACTCAAGTGGTGGCGCCTCCTTTACTCTCCCCCCATTAGGGACAGAGTTTACAGTCAGATAAAACCAAGGGGGAGACTCCCAGGAAAACAGCGCTGCCGGATCAAGGCCTCACCTAGGATTGGGGGGGGGGGCCTTAAATGTGTTCCGTTCAGAGTCTAGGAACTCCTCAGCCTGCAGATGTTCCCTCTAAGCTGTGGAGTCTTGCGAGCAAAAATTATACTCTGTGAGCTCCTGGCATTGAAGTTGTGAGCCAGCGATTTGGCCGCTGCATCAATTAGTTGGTTCTGGAGCCCCATCCTTCCTGAGCGAAGACAGAAATGTGTGAGCCGGAGGCTAAAGAACTGCTAGCTAGGTCACACTCACTCAGCTCAGAGGGGACACTGACGTCCACCCCACTCCTCTTAGAAGCATGCCGTTAAACTCCCCCTGATCGTTAAATGTTTGGGGACCTTGGGGGGAAACGGCAATGTCTGAAATTAATCACACACCCCAACATACATTTGTATAACAAGTTATCGATGCTCTGAATTCTTTAACAGTCTTCTAAACTCAAACTGAACCACTGAGAAGACTATAGATGTGTCTGTGCCTACCCTCCACGATGTGACAGAAAACGTCACCTTACAGCAAAAGAAAACAATGGGATGAATCAAATGAATTTCCCATTGCACAAATTAAATAACCTGCAAGCCATGAACACAAAAGGTTGCAGTTGTCTCCAGTGTTCCCTCTAAGCTGAGTTAGTGTGAGCTAGCTCACAGTTTTTTAGCCTCTGACTCAGCCATTTTGTCTGCGCTCAGGAAGGACGGCTCCAGAGCAAACTAATTGATGCACTAGCCAAATCGCTCGCTCACAACTTTAATGCCAGCAGCTCACAAAGGAGTATTTTTGCTCACAAGACTCCACAGCTTAGAGGGAACATTGTCTCTAAATCTGCTGGGATGCTCTGGCGTAAACTGGACGAAGCCCTCCCCTTTTTTTTCTGCCTCACATCCCAATATCTGCCAAGGGGAAATCATGGGACTAAACCCACTGTTGCTGATTCCTGCTTAACCCTGGGGTCAGACGAGATGAAACAGAGCTCATGGATCCCATCCCCCACTAGTCTTTGAAAGGCAAATTATAACCCATGTGGTCTCAATTTGGACGGCATCTGCATGAGCCGTGCAGAAGGGATGTGGCACTTCCAACTTCACACGGTTTCATTCAGAGGTCATTTCATAGAAAAAGAGGTGCAGGAGCTCATTAGCATAACTCATTTGCATATGCCACGCCTCCTGACGTCACCAGAAGTGTGTCGGAAGGCAACACCCACTGCTCAGGCTCCACCGGACTGTTTTGGATTGCTAGCTATTGGGGGGGGGGGGGGGACGTGCAGATCTGTCCTCGCAGAGGACGGAGAGCTTGTACCTGAATAAACCTTGGTCTTAAAGGTGCCACTGGACTGTTTTGGATTGCTAGCTATTGGGGGGGGGGGGGGGACGTGCAGATCTGTCCTCGCAGAGGACGGAGAGCTTGTACCTGAATAAACCTTGGTCTTAAAGGTGCCACTGGACTGTTTTGGATTGCTAGCTATTGGGGGGGGGGGGGGGACGTGCAGATCTGTCCTCGCAGAGGACGGAGAGCTTGTACCTGAATAAACCTTGGTCTTAAAGGTGCCACTGCACTGTTTGGGGGTGGGCGTGGGGGAGCTCTGCAGCTTACCTGGCTGCTTCTTGCTCTGACTGAGGGCTGCTGGGAGCAGGGGGTGGGGCTTGTTGCATGTGCTCTTTACTGCCTGGGCTCTTTACTGCCTGAGCTCCACTCCTGTGCGCTCCTGCAGGAAATGACCCCTGGTTTCATTAACAGAAACTGAATCCTCCTTTGCCGTTATCTGCTCATTAAAGGAAAATGTTGATTATCCAATTTTTTTTCCTTGAAAGGGCTAATACTGTGCAGGTGTGAAAAAGATTAAATCCCTCATTCCTCTCCAGGCCATTCTAATCTGAACGGG